CCCCCCCCGCAACACCCCTGGGTCACCCACGGGACCTAATTGTTATATTGTCATATTCACATATTCGGTGACTGGATTTGCTTGTATTTGACCCTACTTATACAGCTCGATCCAATAAACTGTATTATGTATTAAGTCAATGAGTCAACTCCATAACTTCATCACAATGCTGGGTTTATGTTGAATATTTGTTTTCAACGTAAACGTACTGGGGATATATCATAGTTAGAAGCGGTTTGTTTGCTAACTACATCGCAATTTGACTAATGGCCTCTGCCTATAGTGTGTCAAGACACTGAACAAGGTGGGTCACTTTTTCAATTCAAAAACTTTTAAAAATAATAATGGAAAATATAAAAAATAAATAAAATGAAATTTATTATTACTTAATTTTTTTTTGGGGGGGGGGTCATATTTGATCTTTTGCTATGTAATACTATCTGTTATATGGACAAAAATTAATGTTAGAGATAGGTACTGAATACAGCTCAAAGGTCGAGTACAAACTGTTTGTGCGTGGTATTTATCTGCTGCTTTGGCAATTTTTTTCAATTATTTAGAAAAGCATTAAAAGCATTAGTGTGATTTAGGAAAGGTAGACCATGCAGTGAAGATTTCTTATACTGTGTGTAGGTACATGAGGCATGTCCTTTCAAGTAGCTCCACATTTCCATCTCAAGAACTGCGTTGAAAAGCAAGGAACCGTGCCACCCGACTTCCCGAAAACCACCTTTAAAAGTGTTTACCTTTGTAGGAAAAAACTAATTGAAAAAATAATTAACTTTCAGAATGGTTGAAATCTAAAGTTTGTTTGTTTTGAATTTAAATTACAATTCAAATATAACCAATAAGCTAAACAGCGTTCAACATAAACTTGCATTCTTTGCACGGTGTAATGCACTTTCTTTCTTTTTTTTTTTTTTTTTTTTTTTTTTTTTTTTTTTTTTTTTTTTTTTCTAGTTGCTAGTCAAGTTAGTTATGGCCTTGCTTGGATAACTTGTAAAATAAATTTCCAACCATATTCTAAAGAGAGTTCCTACCGGGGGTCTTAAAACGTATGAACGTAAAAAGCGTGTTCTGTAAAAGTCAACTAAATGAGGAGTCGACTCTAAGTAATGCACCCTCCTCGTTGCGGCTCATGTTCAAAACTGTTTATCTTTGCTTACAAAACATTGGTCCTGCACATTGGCAGTTTTATCTAACCATCTCAATGGTGAGCATGCGCGAGGCCTTTACAGTGATAAACGCATAAAAGCGCATTTAAAGAAAAAGAAAAGATTATTACAGAAATCTCAGGCTTAAGACGTCACGGATAATGATTTGGTAATCAGGGTAAAATGCGTATTTATCAGTAATTCAGTGGTCGGGTCAGGCGACGGAACCTTCGCGGTATCGTTTATCATTTGTTTACACACTGTAGCTAATAGGGCCTACCTGTCCAAAGTTTGATCACATCGTTAGTGTTAAATGATATCACCTCCATTGCTACCCTGCTGCCGCAGATAGCAAAAAGAGATTAACCAAGTTCATTTGTGTCCTTCACTGGAACGGCGAACGCTTATGAACGCTCCAAGGCGGGATAAAACAACAGCCTAATTTTGTTGATTATTAAAAGAAGATGGAAATTCATGCTGGAGGCGCCTCGCGTTCATGACAGGAGGTCACTGACCCAAAGACTACTGTTTCTGTTTCAACTCGGGAGCGTTTTACGGGTCGTTGACAAGTTACCTGAGCTAATGAGGTCCTAGTTCATGGATTAGACCTTAGCACTGAGGCTGTTAATTACAACCAGGCGTGGGGCGGCGCTTTCTGCAGTGAACTTTCTCTTGATCCACTATGGAAAACGCAGCCGCTTAACTCCACGATGTCAAAAAAGAAAGATATATACTAACTTTCGTTGCTAACGGATGAGGTGATACATATCAACTTTTGATTAAGTGCGGTATAGCTGTTAAGTGAAAAAAAAGCGGCGTTTTCGTTGATCGCCCATTTTAAGAACATATACATTAACGTAATCCTTCAACGCAGCGTGCAGTGTTCAGTTTCTGTACTCGAGGACAAAAATCCACCCTCATCGTACCTGAAAAATTGAAGAACAAATATCAACCGATTGATTTGAAGCAAGGCTACAAAAACAAATCAGAAGGCGCAGCTCATAAAAAACAGTATTAATATATAATATTATGCAGTAT